TTCTTTAAAGGGCCTGATAGTACATATTTTTGACGTTGTTGGCCAGATAGTCTCTGTTATACTTACTCAGCTCTGTCTTTGTAGTGTAAAAGCAGTCATAGACAAGACATAAGCAAACAGGTGTGGCTGTGTTCCAATAAACCATTATTTACAAACATGGCATGCTTCCTATAAACAGAAGAGAAGAAAAGGCCCAGCATGTTCTCTCTCTTCCTAGCCACTGACTCCTTTTCTTCAACTTAAATTCTTAAATGCCCTTAAATTCCTTTAAATGTCCTTAAGTTCTTAAATGCCCTCCAGGGACAGCATTTAAGACTCTTTTTCCCTCTCTGGCTCTGTATTTTCTGTTTCTTGCAATCTAGCTTCGCCACACATTGCCCTTCAGAAGCAGCAAGGCTTAAGACCTCTGGTGCTCATCGGATGGTCAAAGCTGGGGGAAGCTGTCCAGGCCTCAACCTCCTTGATTCCTCTGAGACCTTGAATTTACTGACCTCTCCACAATTGTTAAAACTCTGTCCTATTCTGGGCTCTGGGCCCAGCTCTCCAGTCTGTCCTTCTATCTCTGCCAGACATGTGACCGTCTGCTATGGTGTCTCCTCCTTTGTTTCTGCCAGGATGTTAGCCCCTCCTATTCCCATTCCCCATGAGACCCATCTACCACCCCTCTCATGAGATTTCCTGGAGATCATTGGGATACTGCACCTTGGGCACCCAGATCCTGATTTAAATATCTTAGAATCATCTTTGACATGTAACCTTCGATCTGCAAGCCAGTGTATCACCACTTCACAAATTGAGTCTCCTGCTGTCACTTCCTAAATTGGCCTCTTGTCATCAATTAGATATAGAATGTCCTCAACTGCCAGCCTCCCTTCAATGAAGGATCCAGAGAATCATTTAGGTGATCACACAAAGCTCTCTAAAAAGTGGAAATGTGTGTGTGTGTGTGTGTGTGTGTGTGTGTACAATTCATGCCAGATTATATTAACACTTTTCTTTCTGATTTTTAAAAGAAGTTGAAATAATTTATGGGCTCTCAACCCTGCCTAATGGAGAAGTCAGTCTAGGGGATATTTGTCATATACTGATAGTAGCACAAAAATTATTTTTTAAAAATCTAATCATATAAAATATTTGCCGTTTTAAGCTATTTATCCTTCTTTGGAAGAAAAATGTGATATCTACAAGAAATATTGATATGATCTGGGCACAGTGGCATACACTTGTAATCCCAGTGACTCTGGAGGCTGTGACAGGATGTTAAGTTCAAGGCCAGCCATGGTGACTTACTGAAATGTTGTTTCAGTACAGCACTCCTGGATTCAATCCTCAGTACCCTCCAAAATATTGATGTGAATATCAGAATTATATTCATTCATATAATATATTTAGTGACACTCTTAGACACCAATATAAGGATCAAAAAATAAATATTGATATGCTCTATTTGTTTCATTTTAATAATAAAACAAAAGTCAGCTATTACCTGTTTCAGTTACCCTTAGAGAATACATCAATATCTAATAAAAATTTCCCAGACTTTTCATTCTATAAATTACTTGAATTTGTTGCTTATTTCAATTTATTTGATTATTGCATGGTTTATCCAGGAAACATTTATTAAGTGCAAATCTTATTCCAGGAATTGAGCTGGGTCCAGCAATACTCTATATTAGTATGATAGCTTCCATTTTAACTGTGACACTTAATACTTTATTAGAACACCTATCAGAGAATTTACAAGTTTCCATTTCTATGCAATTGACTCAATTATCCATGACAACAAGAATAAGCCATGGCTCTGACTATACTAAAGTGATGAATGTTTCTCCTTAAAAGACATTTGATGGACTTCTGGTGAGCTGGAGGAAGGTGGGATTACAAGGGAAGGATAGCAGGGTGCCTTGCTAATGATTTCACTTGTACAGCACCACAGTTCTACTCCTTGAGAGGAGGGACAGTGAAGAATGTGTTAGTTTCTTAAACAAGGGGGTTTGAGGGCTGGAGTTGTGGCTTAGTAGTAGAGCAGTTGCCTGGCTTGTGTGAGGCCCTGGGTTTGATCCTCAACACAACATATAAATAAATAAAATAAAAGATCCATTGACAACTAAAAAATATTTTTAAAAAACAAGAGGGTTTGAGAAACAGGGGATTATTAATTGCATATTAAAGGAACACAAACTTATTGGAGATCTAAGGCAACTTGTCTTTAGGGTAAGTTTGGGCTCAAATCCTTAATTAAATGTGTGACCTATATAATAAGTGTAGCTTTCAAATTTGGAATCCTTATCTCAAGATTGTTGGGAGGAACATATGGCTCTGTATATAAAGTGCCTGGCACAAAGGGAACACTCGTTGAATGTCAGCCTCTCCTTCGTTGGAGCTACTCCAACCTGTAACATCAACAGTTGACTCAGATGTACTTTGGAATACACTGTTGTGCAGTTGTCTGTCATATGTAGGGCACAGGCACAGTGTGTATGAAAAAAAAGGCAGCAAAGAAATTACTTTGACTAAGAAGCCCTAGCTAATCAAAGTCACCATAAATAAGGGTGTATCAATCTTGACACCATGGACATTTGGAGCCAGATAATTCTTTATGGGGGAGCTGTCCTGTGCACTGTAGGATGTTTGGCAGCATCCTTAGCCTCTCAATAGCACTCACTCCCAGGCTAAACAACCAAAAATGTCTCTAGACATTGCCAACTGTCTCCTGGGAGGCAAAATTACCCCCTGTTGAGAACCACTCACTTAAGTGATAACCTTCTGTCTTTGAGATGAGGAAGATGGTTCTTCAGAATCAAATGAAAGATGGTGAGAGAAAATGAAACTGTCTGGTAACCTGAAAAGTATTAACCCAGGAGTTCCGGGTGTTTCTTACACATTTTTAACATCTAGGGAGAGCTTAACATCGTGAGGCTCAGACCACACCCCATAGCAGTTAATCAGAAATTTAGTGCAGAGGATGGAGGCATCAAAGTGTGCTTTAGAGTCCCTTGAGTGATCCAGGGGATGACACAGTAGAGACTCTTCTTTAACCTGACAGACATGTAATTCTTAGGACTGGGTGGTTGACTGCCATTTGAAGAGAAGGCCTGAGCCTCTGGCTCTACAGGGACACAGAGAATTAATCCATGTATAGACAAATGCAGTATTTGCTGGCAATTCACCACACTGGCCCACCATGGTGCTAGTGGTGGAGATGCAAAGTCAATGAACACTCAGTTCTTTCCCTTGGGGGAATCATAATCTAGTTGGAGAGACTCCTAACCAGCCCATTGAGAGGATAATAGGTAGAGAAACTTCCATTGCCTATATTACCATCTCCCTTTGATAAATTAGCAGCTTGATTGGATATTAGAGCTTAAATCACTAATTTAGGCTACAGAGCATGGATGTGCCCCATCTTTAGCCCAAACTTAAATTTCAAGGTTTCAAAATTGGAGATAGATTTTTTTCCTAACATTTTATTATTAAAATTTTCAACTGAAAAATTTGGAGCAGTTTAAAGAATTCTATAATGAACATTTGGGTTCCAACCACCTGGATTCCAACATGACATTTGGCTATACAGTTTGGGCATCCCTTATCCAAAATGGTTGGAACCAGAAGGGTTTTGGGTTTTCTTCAGATTTTGGAATATTTGCATATATATAATGACATATCTTGGGGCTGAGACCCACTTCTAAACATGAAGTTTATTTATATTTCATATACATCTTATGCACATAGCCTGAAGGTAATTTTATAATTTTTTTTTTTCTTAAGTGTTTTTGACTGAGGTCAGTCACACTGCATCAGACATGGAATTTTCCACTTGAGGCGTCATGTCAGTGCTCAAAGGCTTTTGGATCTTGGAGCATTCCAGATTTCAGATTTTCAGATTCAGAATACTGAACCTAGACTTACATACCACATATGCATCCAACTGTCTTGCCCTCTATCTTTCTATAAATCCGAGAGATGCATTTCTTTGAGTTAGTTCTCCGTGAAAGCAGTAACAGTGAACTTTTTTTTTCAAAATTGATGTCATTCTTACATTTGTTACTAAGCATTAATATTACTTGTTAGTCAGTTCACACAAAAGGGTTGAGTAGGGTGTTAGGCCTTTAGTTGTTAGAAGCCAAGCCTCTAAATTACTGTGCTTATCCAAATAACTCTTGAGAAATAGCTTTTAAATTTGCTTAAACATTTCCTGTGGTCTTTGTAGATAACCTCTAGTGAAAAAAAAAATGAAGTGACCATGTTCACTCTAAACACTTTGGTTAGTTCACAAAATCTATGTGAAAAATGCATTTTCAAGTCTTTTTGCTTCCTCTCCCTAGAGTTGCTTCAAATAGACTTCCTTCCTTTTCAGGGGCTGGAAGATTTGCATATTTTGTTTCTGAGAGACATCTCACAAATACTCCAGCTGGGAAAAAAAGATAAATTGCCCCAACTGAAAGTTTAGGACTTCTTTGGGATTTTGTAACTTGGACATTTGGTTATTCTGGAAAGAGTGTCTTGTGCATATTTAATATTGCTGAATCCTTTTCAGTTTGTTTCTAGGCAGTTATGCCAAATAAGTAGCTCTGTCATCCTCATTTGTCTTCACCTGACATCAAATCCCACTTTGTAATGAACAATTGTTCCTTGATTTGACATTCTGTTAAAGAAAAATGAGACAGCAATGAATTCTTAGCTGAATACCACTAGTTGGTGTATGTGTGTATTTTCCAGTTACAGACAGGGCCTGGTGTTGTATTTTCAGTTGAAATCCTTGATGAAGCATTGATAAATTATATTTATCTAGATGGGGTATAAAGCAGTATGACTGGTTGCACAAAGCACTTAGCAAAATTTGCCTTTTTTTCTTAAGTGTTACACATCTTAAGCTCAAAATAGAGGGAATCCTAAGGCAATTGTGGCTTAAAATTGCCCAAGATACCTCATTGGCTAATCTGAGTACCGATTGGACAGTGGGGGAAGTGGAGACTGCTGTTGGTATTTAGTGGCAGGAGTAAAGATTCCCTATGGGTTACTGAAAACTCCCGGCTTGTTTGGGGAAAATGGCTCCCAACCCAGCAATGGAAATACCTGTATCATGACAAATCTAGAGGTAAAGGTTGTGGTGCCTGAGGCTAATGTAGTGCTTGCCAGGCTGAGTTTGCACCTGAGGCAAGAGCCAATATCAGGGTGGGGGTGTTGTCTGGGATGGGCAAGGGAATCAGGGTGGTGGGGGGCCCAGAGGAAGGAGGCAGGCATGTAGTCCTGAATACCCAAACAGAGATGAAGAAAGAGCTGTACACATGATAATTCTTGGTCTCTTTGAGGCTAGGACTATCATGTTTCTGAGCCGAACATTTTAGGCACAGCAGATGACTTGCTTATTCACTGGTATAATGTCCAGTGGAGCATAAAAGTCCTGAATAGATTCAAATCCATCCTTAGCCTTGCTGTTCTAGAAGGTGGAAAAGGGTTTTGCAGAATTTCCTACTAGAGGAAATGGGCCTATGTCTACAGCTAAAGGGACTCGGCTTGGTTGTTTATTCCTTTGTGATGTAAGACATGAGACTTTGTCCAATACCAGACATTTGGGTGTTTTCTCTGGGCTTCTGGGCCCTTCTGAAGACAGGGAGTGTGAAGATGTGGGCAAAGGGATCAGCACTTCTAGGGGGAGGGCTCTGCAATGGAACAGCAAGTGAAGGATGTATATAAAAGGAGGTGAGATATTAAAAAGAGTGTGCTTTTGATGTCTCTGATCATGGTTTCCTGTTCTTTATTTCTTCCTGAAGAGATGCAGTTCATGTGATAGCAAATTTAGTGCCAGATTTAAAGTAAGACCAAGTTGCAGAAAGACATAGAGCACATCTTCCAGAACATTCTACCCAATCTAGATCCCTGCCAGCCATTTGTCCAGTAAGTCTTTAACTTTGTAGAGTCACTACTGAATCATGCAAAGCCATTTTCGTGAGTGAATAAAGCAGGATGGGGAAAATCTTAAATGCACAGATCCTGTGGCAGGCCCTCCTTCCCAGGGACTCAAACCCAAACAAAGACTTGTGAAGCATTTCAAAAAGTAGAGAAGTAATATATCCTTAAAGATGTTTTAAAACAACTACTCCCTGAATCAGGTGATTACTCTCACTCATCCTATCCTCACAATAAACACACACTCGGTCTTTATATTATCCTAACCCCCCACCCCATTTTAATGAATTTGAACAGCTGAAAATTTTTGCCTATGTCACCTCCGAAACATATGTTAATTCTATGTAGAGAGGGTCCTCTAACATGCAGAAACACCTCTCAGAGCCAATTGGAGCCCAGAAAAGTCCAAGAAGCAGAAGGGGAAGAAAACAAAAAGATTTGAAAGGTGCTGGGGTATAGCTCGATGGTAGAGCACATGCTTAGGCCCTGAGTTTTATCTCAGCACCATAAAATAATAAATTAAAAATAATAAATAAATAAAAGCTCTTGAAAGAAACTGGAGAACTACTGAATACATGTAATAAAATTCACAGTAATTATAAGAAGGGAAATTGAGAAGCTGCCAAATTCATTCATTTACCAACATCAGCACAGGCTGAGAATGCAGCATGATTCAAAATGCTGAGGAATAAAAAGATGCAGTCTTTTGAATTCTACGACTGTGTTGGAGCTCAGAAAACAAAGTATGGCACTTTAGCTTGTGAAGTACTTTGAACTAAAAGGTATTGGAAAACCTCAAAAGCAAAGTTTCTTTCAGACCCTTTTCTGCCCTCTTCCTTCTGCTGCTTTTTAAACCCCACACAGTCCATAGAAACCAGAATTTGTCTTCCCCAAGGTGGGTCATAGAAACTAGGAGCCCTCTTTCCCAAAGCCAGCCATAAAACCTACAAATATTACTCTAACCTCTTCTGACACCTTTCTGTTTAGGAGCTGACCATGAAGAAATTCTTCAACCTGCACACAGAGAGGCTAAGAAGAATCTGACCAGACAAGAGTTGCTGGGTTTCCACCATTCAGTGTGTTACAATACATCATAACTTTTTGTTCAATCACAATTCTATGGCTGTCCATTCCTCCTCATCAAACTTTTGCATAAAAACCATTCTCCCTGGATTTTCAGGGAAGGCTTCTGTGTAATGTAAAACTTTGATTAAATACATCTGTTATGCTTTTCTCTCGTTAATCTATTTTTTATTATAGAAAAGTTGATCATGACCTTTATGACAGGTGAGGAAAGGTATCACACTTTTCTGTCCCTGCAACTGATATCTGATATAACCTAAAAATTATAGTAACGATCAATTCATTAATCCTAACCAACAAGTTTATGGTCTCAAAGTGAAAATTTAAACTCTTGAACTTAATATCATTTTAACCACAGGAACAATACTCATTAAGAATATTCACACAAGACAAAAGAAAATACTACATGATCTTGTTCTAATGAAGATTAAAGAAAGAAACCTTTTATATCATAGAAGTGTTCCATTACCAAAGTCATTAAGCTTTAGTGTCTCTATTCTTTCCTAATTCCTCTTAAACACATTATTGTTTACACATTATGTTTCAGCTGTATATGTTTAATATGGACATTAAGAAAGAGACCACTATTCATTCAATTGGTTTAGAGTTTGAGTAATGTTTTGCAATAACAAATCTTTTGAGTTTTGAAAACTAGCTATGATTAGTTTCAGAGCTCTTGGTCCCACCCAATTTCAGCCTTTGCTGGTTTTCCAAGTTACCAGGGTATCTATTTCCTTTGTAAATTAAAATTCTCTCTCTGGTGATTATGAGGGCTGATTGGTTTTGATCCTCATTTCACTAGAGGCCTCAGTCTTTTCTTTGGCTCACCTTCTATCGCCCTTCCTTATTTGTAGATCACTGAGGGAGGCGAGTTTCCTTTGAATGTCTTTAACACTTTATAATTAGCCAGGAAGCCAACAAGAATACCAAAAGTCTCTTTCCCATCACGGGTGAACTGTTTTGTTTTCAATTCTGAACTCCAAGCTGGAATTGGCTGGGATGCAATGGCTTCTCCACCAGAGGAGTGATTGATTTCATGGGGATGTCAAATTTGCACAACACTATCAGAAGCTCTTGATCCATCAGGCTCAAGACTGAATGAGCTTTTCTTTCCAGTCACTGTAGTTAATGCCTTTGTATAGCACACTGTATTCAGCCCACAGCTTCCTCCTCAAACAAACCACACAAGGAGCAAGGACTGGGGGGGGGGGGGGGACACTGCTGCTGAGAAGTAGAATACAGAAAGATCTATCTTAGGAATCTAACAGACCTGGGTTCAAGAGGAATCATTGAATATGCTTTTTTTGTATTTAACATCAGGTTGTAAGGTATATTATACATAGCAAAATTCACCTTCACACCTGGTCTTTAAATGGCCTTTTCTATAATCTGCAGAGGAAATTACACTGTTTGGAGCCAGGAAACAAGGAGTGTGCTCCCATGCTCCCCACCATTGTCACAATGTCACAGAGGAGACACACCTGCAGAGTCAAAGCAGCTGCAGGAGTCTACCGTCACCAGTTTTTGCGATCTTACAGGAAGAATTTCAAATGAGTCTCACAGAGTAACAAGCAGGAATTTATTAGAAAGAGCAAGAGTATAAATGTTCAGAACAAGGTACTAAATGGGACGTTTCCAAGGAGAATGATGTAGAGTCAGGGGCTTTAAGGGGTTTGAGTTTTCTTGTTCTATTGTCTTGTACCCCTTCAAGTAGTTCATTAGCCCTTGGTATAACCTTTAGCAACCTTCTTTGTGAGGGTCATGATGTCCTAGTTACAAGGGGTGGTTGGGGTGATTGTGACATAGTTTTGGTGATAAGAAAGGGTCATTGGGGACCTGGTCACAAGTGATAGTAATGGCATGCTCTGAAAACAGTAGTTCCCTTAAGGGATTATAATTAGCTATGACTAGGGGAGATTCTGACATACTAGGCCCCATTTTCCTCATGTTTGCCAGGCACCCTGTGGCCTCAATTTTGTGACTCATGGATTTTTCTTTATGCATATGTCTAATCTTTCCTGTAAGTCACTGCCCCTCATTGTTTTCCCCTCTACCCACCTGTTCAAGGCTGATTGACCTACCTTACAACAATAGCTCAGTACTCTGCATCATCTGTAAAATACGGGAGTGGAATTAGGTCCCCTCTGTGTTAAAAGTCTATACTTTCATGTTTTTAAATGACTCTGAAACAAAAATCAAAACAACTTGTCTTCCTGAGTTTTAAGAATCTTATGATTGAAGTTCCCTCTTAAAAGAAGCAAGCTGCTGCAACTGAATTTTTTATTTTCACAAAATTTCTTCTAAGAATTTCTAAGCATGTTGCAATAAACAATTCCCACCCCTTGCTCCTGCACTAATTCTTGCCTGCTGCTCTCTTGCCGATCAACCCCATCCTTCATTCTGCAAAGGCAGGGGGAACAGGAAATCCTGTTTTCAGAAGGTTCGTCTGCTTTGGAGAGAGGCTAAATCTCACCAGAGTAAAAGTGCTAAAAGCAGGCAGAGAAGGTTCCCTTCTTTCAGCTACAGAAATTATCTCTTTACACTCCTCTCTTAAACCTACCTAAGCTCAAATGCCAAAACATTTCAATGGAGAGGAAAGTATTCAACATTCTTTACTCCAATCTTGGAGCAAAGCATTTCACTTGGTGAAAGTTTTAGTTTGTTCCATCCTTGTTGTCTTTCCTCCCCCAAACCAAATACCCAAGTGCCTGGAGTTAGTGAAGCACATACATGTCTGGGTTGAGGTTTATAGTTGGAACTGGAGTGGGACAATGTGACAGGCTTTAATTTCCCAGGAGTGTTCCTCCAGTGTCAAATTCTTTGGCTTGATTCCTACAGTCAGGGGAGGAGACTGTGGTGGTCATCCTCTCATCATTCTCCTACTGGTGGACACAAAAGCTTAATCCCTGTGGGAAGTAGGAGGCGGATTCCCAGCCCAGTGACAACCTCACTAACTCCTGGCCATTCATGGCGACCTCATTTTTCTTTCAACTCCTGTTCAGAGTCGATTTCCATGGGGCCTTTATGAGTTTGAGAAAATCACACCAAATCTACATCCAGTCCAATTTCTGGGAGTCAGTCAGAATCCACGCTGCCTGGTTACGATGATTGATATCTGATAGCTCTTTACCCAAGTGATTATTTCCAAATTGTGTGTGGCAAGTTATATCATTTGTGTTTTTATTGTGTTTTCTGTCTTCTCTCTTAAAATGTAAGAGAATGAGGGCTGGGGTTTATGTCTATTTTCTTTATTGTTATACCCCCAGTGCCTAAAATAGCGCCTGAGACCTTGTATGGGCTTCATCAAAATTTGCTGAAGGATTTAATGGACAAATGAATGAATTGCCTCTAATAGAATCCTCTTCAAGAGGTTTAAAAAATGTTTGGACCAAGTCCTTAAATGAATCAATATGAATATTTACTGAGTCTATGATGCATTAGACAAAAAATATAGAAATAAAAAGAAAGAAGCAATAGAATAAGTGAGTCAACTGACTAATCTATCCATAGAAGTAATAACTAAGCCCCAAAAAACAAACCATGTGGAATATTATTCAGGAATAAAAAGAAATGAAACAACATCATGATTCTGAAAATTTTTATGCTGAGTGAAAGAGGCTATACTAAAAAGACGATACACTAGATGATTTCATTGATATAAAATTGCACCTACAAAATATAATCAATTGTAACAGAAAGTAGATCATTGGTTGCCTGGGTCCTGGGAATGGAGAGGCAGGGATTAGTAAGGGGCATAAGAAAACTTTTAGGGGGCTGGGGATGTGCCTCGAGCGGTAGCGCGCTCGCCTGGCAGGCGTGCGGCCTGGGTTCGATCCTCAGCACCACATACAAACAAAGATGTTGCGTCTGCCGAAAACTAAAAAAATAAATATTAAAAAAAAAATTCTCTCTCTCTCCCTCTCTCTCTCTCACACACTCTCTCTTTAAAAAAAAAAAAAAGAAAAAACTTTTAGGGATGATGCATATGCTCAGTGACTTAATTGTCATGACAGTTTCACAGGTGTGTGTATAAATCAAAACTCATCATATTGCACATTTAAAATATGTGCCTTTTATCACATGTCAATAAAACTGAAAATGCAAAAACAGTATATTTTAGTTCTTTAATCAAGAAGAACTATCCTTTGAGTGCCCAACAATCAGCTGAACTGATTATTTTGATTCTCATTTTCCTTTGCCCTACCTCATCAAGATCTCAACAGAAGTAATCAAGTAAATACCCAATAAACTGGTTTTATGAAGTATATTTATGCTCATCATGATATAATTTAGGTTTTTATTTCAGGAAGAAAAACGTATCATAACTATGATCAATAGACCTTTTGTCTTATAACCTATTTTACCAATTTCATTTTCTTCAGAAATACCTTACATTGTTTTATCATATTCAAAAGGCATCTAATATATATATATATATATATATATATATAT